TTTTCAGTCCTCCAAGTTTCACAAGTCTCGGGACACTGGTACCAAAAGTACGTCTCTCACACCCCTCCTCCTTCCCTCATCTCACCTCCACCACCTCCTTACCTAGGGCCCTATTAACAACGGAACTTGAGAGCATTTTTGCGGAAGCACCTCTGGCGCCCAATGACGTCACGAACCCACGAATCAGGGAAGCGCACGACAGGGCCCTTGGGAGATCAACCGCAGTAACGCCCGCTCCCCAAAACAAGAAACGTATCCCTGGCAAGGATGACGATTGTCCCATATGTTATGACGGGATGCACGGCGTTGCGGAGACGGCTCTTGTTTTCTGTGAGGAATGTGGTAACGCGTTGCACAAAGAGTGTTTTGGGCAATGTGAGTTTATTTTTCTATCGTTCGTTTTTCGTTGGGTTGATGATTTTGTGCGTAGGGCAAACGACGAGCGTGAATAGTGGAAAGGAGTTGAATTGCGTGTGGTGTCGAGCTCGATGGGTTGTCCCCGGCACTGCCGCTGGTGTTGGCGTGCAAAGGGAAGGAGGGTATTTGAATCTTGGAGCCGTGGCGGGTATCAGCCCTGCCCGGGATACCAGTACTTGTCAGTACCCCCTTCCTCTCGTCTGCCCTTATTCGATAGCTTATCTTCATTATCTGTCAGATTACCATGGCCCACGTCGCGGACAAAGGTATTACGGGGCTCAGGAATACTATGACGACTTCTGATGCCCGGATACGACGATTTCTTTTGACAATTTAGAGGTGCATCATTTGTTGCACAAAATCCTATTATCAGAACTAATCTCTCGTTCCCAGAATTTATTCTTGTACAGATTTGTTTTAGCATCTTGATAGTTATACAAGCCTTGATTAATTGATTTGTTAGCCGCTCATTGTGATTTGAATTCGGCTTTGTGGGAGGCAGTCCATGAAGTTCAACCGAATGTGTTGCTCCTACTTTACGACAGCGGGGTATTTCAATCTCTGGGCCGTGGCGGTCATCAGCCCTGTTTGAGAACTAGTACACCCATCAAACACCCATGCTTGGCTTGTCTTCGCTATCTGCAAGAGTACCATAGCATACCGCACGTCGTCGACAGACTCTACTACAGAGGTCAAGATCTTGAGATCTTGCTAAGACGACTCCTGACAATTGGGTATAGCGATCTTCGAAGAGAGGTGTGTGGATTTGTTCGGCATGATCATATTTTGAATGGCTCGCTTCCAAGATTATTCCTGTCCTTGGGATTCTTTCTTTCATTTGTCCCCTTGTTACTCCCGTTTCAATCTTGGTTTATCTATCATTCACGGTCATTAACTTACTGCGACGGGGAGTCCAGAGACGTCAAACGCGGCTGTCGCCCCCCTCCCCCAAAGTGGGCTATAGCAAGAGTATCTACTCATACCCCGGTATAGAAGTGGGTCCCCGCATTAGCATTGAATACTGCCTCAATGACCCAGCACTCTGACTTCCGGTTAAAGGAGGTGGGATGAAGGGAATAGGTGGCTCCTCTTCGTGTTGTTGAGGCGACGTTGGACGCATCCGACTTGGAGGACGGAAGCTATCCGTTGGTATCACAGGAACGTATGGTTGACGATATATATTGAACGGCGATCGTTGATAAGGCATCTGAGGTATGACTGGGGTGAAGGGTGGGGTTGGCGTGCGATGCCCCGCGGGGGCAACTGATACCGGAGGAATGAATGGAGTAAAGGGTGGAGTCGACGTGTGATGCTCTGCAGGTATAACGGGAGGAATAACAGGCGAAAAAGATGGAGTTGGTGTGTGATACTCTGCAGGGATGACTGGTGGTATGACAGGTTGCGTAGGAAATGGTTGAAAACCAGGCGGAAGCTCAGTTACATGACGGGGTTGACGCATTTGTAGTCCTTCAAAATGGTGCGGTGTTGGCATTTGGGATTCAGAAAAACGGCGCGGCCTAAAAGGTTGTGGCTGATGATGTCGATCTGGAGGATTACCTCCGCTTGTAGATGGTCGGGTCGTCCTTACCACTTGAACTGATGCAAGTATACCCCGCAGATCATCTCGCAATTCATCTAATCGCGCGAGAACCCTACGGAGCTCCGAGTGACGATCGTGTGTGTCTTGCTCGAGCCAGCCATTTAACCCCTGCATGTACCTCATAAGCTCGCGTTGTTGATCAATGGTTGCAAATTGGGCAAGGCGACTCTCCTGCAGAAATGGTCAACGGGCGCACATTCCGGAGACCGGCGCCAGCGTTCATACCCTCAATATCGTCATGAGCTCGAGCGAATCGGCCCATGGCGGCACTTGGACAATGGCCTATTGAAACATTAGATGTGATTCTGTATCTTTTTGTCACGAAAAAATTTACAGGTGCAGCAGGCATGGGATGGTAGTATGTCGCCATGCTCTGTGGACGGTGGAGGGTTTTATCGGATTATGTAAGCATGCTTGGGCATTTGATCAACGTTGGCGTAAATTGCCTAATTGCTGAACACGGCTAATCCCTCCCCCCCTCATATAATAGGGTAAGTCACTAGTTCTCTGGTACATACAGAATCCGTAAAGGGGAAGGTTGCTATGGTGATAAAATCGAGAGATTTTTCTTAAAACACCAATTTTAAAAGTTCATACGTACATTGCGGTCCCCATGCAATGTCGCTAGCTGCGTAGCCGTCAATAGAATCAGTAAATGGAGTACGTAACGCATTTGGTGAAGACTAGGACCTGATCCAGCATTAGTTGTGAATGGTCTCCGGGCGCCATATACGTACCGCCATCCTCGCTTCCACAGCACAAGTGAGATGATGCTTCCACAAAGAGCAGCATTTTTACTCAGAAAAGCAAGCAAACCACCTGGATTTTCTGTGGTCAATCAAACTACAATGATCGGTTACCATTCACCCCACTCACCTCATTTCAATAACAAGCTACAGAGATATCCGCCTTCCCCACGCTTTCCGTTGGAAGTCGAGAATTATAGGTACAAAGTCAAGGAGGCCGAAGTCCGGCCAGAAAGTGGAAGAGATTTGGATCTGAGTATCTTCACAACACTAACGACTACAGTCAGGAATTCTAATTCAATGAGGAAGAAGTCGTGCGTACCTGCCACAGTAAGAAATCGCTCAGCCGTTTGACCCCGCTCGTTCTTACGAGGATGTCGAGTGGGGGACTGCAGCCTAATGATGTCATTAGTTGAGCGTCGATGTCCTTTTCGGTGATTTGCCTGAGTGAGTTAAATACGCCATGAGAAGGGAGAAACAGTAGGGGTGAAAGAGAGATGAACACACGGGTTTGAAGGGTCAGCGTTTCGGACACACGATTCAACGGCGGTTGTTATTTCGTCGCGTGATGTATACGGCATGCAGAGATTAAGGATAGCGCTGTGTATTATGGTTCAGGTTGGTGGAGCGGAGCGAGGGTGAGATGTACCGTGTATTATGTCGAGTCATGTATTCCGCCTTTTGAACTGCGAGTTGGACTTTCTCTGGCAGGAGACTCGTTCTACCCAAAACATTGAGTCTGACACCGTATTCATCAAGAATGTCCCTGTTAGGTAGCCAGAAGACTTTGAAGCGCCGAAATGAAGGAAGGCAGAATGAGGAACGCACCCATGTTCACAAAGCTCCAGCAGCTTTTCTTCCGCTAGCTTCATTAACGCCTCCACTTCATCTTCGGAGCGTTTAAAGTTCTCAATCGAAAACGCGTACGCGCTGACGCACTGGACATTTAAACGCAGACAGACCTCCAACATCTGTTCTCTTCTCGTTAGTCGTGGTTCCCCCCCAAAAAAGCAAGGAAAACTCACCCGCCGTAAAGCAACATACCCGTCCACATGCCCCTCTTGTACCTGCTTCTGCTGCTTTCTAGCGTATCTGCGGTTTCCATCCATAACGAAAGCGACATGTCTGGGCACCGGGCCCGCTGCGAGGACTCTGAGGAAGAATCGCTCGGCTTGGTTGGCAATTGAGTCGCGCAGCCAGGCGAGGCCACGTAGGATGACGGTCATGGAGATAAAGTTGTCGTGAGAAGGTTTTGCTTGGGCACCGGCTACCATGATCCGGGACCCGGTCCGGTCCTGCAAAAGTTGCCGGAATGCTTCGCTGGTCGACGCGTTCAAACGCGGGTTGAAAAGATGGGTTCGTCCTGACCTGGAAAAATATATAAAATCTAAAAGAAGTCAAAAAAACAAGCTGCGTGAAAAATGAAAATAAACAGGAAGTGCCAGAAGTGCCACGAATAGAACGACACTTCCACAACGTGTCTCAATGCAACAAGAATAGCTTTGAAATTAAAATGTGCCGTGTAGATCTTATCGCAACTTCACTCTCTGACTACCTTTGACTCAATATTATTGTTGATTATTGTTGAACGGCTATTTAGCCGGGGGTGCGCCTACAACTTAAAACAATCAGAGTCCGAAGTGTTCAGTTTCGTTCCTGTCCTTTGTTCTCAACCCCCCTCAACATTCCTCCATCATGGCTCCCATCCCGGAAGAAATGATCATTGCTGCAAGAGATTCAGTGCTGAATATGGTGAATGACACGTATGTAGTCACTACTGTACAAATATGACCAACTCTTCATCGATTTGGATTTTTTTTCTTGCTGAGATGGCCGAAAAATTTTCTTTTGATTTAAGGCGAATAAAAAAAATTACTTTTTCTCCAATGTGACACATGATGTGAAGACTTGGTCATATTAGTACAGTATTCTTTGTGGAATTCAGCTATCAACCCACACTGGCATCCAGGCAGTATCAGACAGATATGGAAATTGCCTGGAGAAGACTCCACCCTTTGCAGCAAGAAATCATGATGAAGAAGATCGTAAATAGGCTGACTCCCAAACAATTTGCTGTCCCCACAGAAGGCTTACATCAGGAAAACTACACATTCACTTATGTCACTTGGCCCTTGGGTCACTTTGACAAGTGGCCAAGAGACGCAAGTGAGCTCAAGTGACCAAAGGAGATTCACTTGGCTAAGTAGGTTGCTGCCTTGGCCAAGTGATTCCTCTTGGCTCAAGTGAAGACTCAAGTGGGTAAGTTGTATGGCAAAAGTGACCAAGTGATGAAATAGCGGTCTCAAATTGTTCCCAATTTCACACAGGACAGTAAAATTAGTGGGTAAAAGAGTATATTGAACAATATATACATCCATCTCAAGGAATATCTGAAATGTATAGAAAATGGACCATCCCCTCTGTTTGATGGTTGCGGGAGCACCCCAACATCTCACTCATCAAAGATCCTCACACATCGAGGGGAGAGGTGTTGGCATGTTGAGTGAGCGAAATGGGTGGTTTTGGTTCCTCCATGAGCTCAATTGCGGAATCTGACCCAGAACTTGAACATGTGCTCAGCCTGGACAAAAATGAGATCATGCAGCAGGGGAGGTAAGAGGAGACATACCCAGACCATCAATAGAACAGGTCCTCATTCTGCCGCCGATCCCTTCTCTTTCCCAGCCTCTTCACACTTGCCGTCAAATCGAAAAATGGTGGTGGCCAACACCAGTCTTGCTTGGAGCAATCGCAATGGACCCTGTGGTCGGTACGGTGCATAGGGGTAAGTAGAGATATGAAGAGGAGGTTGCCATGGCACAAACCTGGGCCAGCGTCATTCTGGAGTCACTGTCTTCATTAGTGCTTGGAAGTCTGGTTTTTCGGTTTTTCAACCCTTTTTTTGAGCTAGAACATTGCCATAAAAATTCCCTGCTACAATTGGGGTTTACGAACACAAAATTTCAGGGTCAGTCTGGTCTTTTTTCCGGTCTAAGACCGGAAAAATTTCCTTTTCTGGTGCCCCAGATTCATTGGGGAATTTTAATGGCAACGTGCTAGCAGCAAAACTGACCAAAAAGGCAAAAAACCGGACTTCCAAGCACTAGTCTTCATCTGGTTTACCACCTTGTCACTAGGTGATAGTATGAGGTTTGTTAGCACAACCATGCATTGAATATCAGCACTGACTTACTGAGTTCATAGTGCGTGCACAGGGCTTTGGCGAGGATGGGTCGGACAAGGTCGGACACCACAAGCGACACGTCATGACTAACGTGTCGCTTGGTGTGCACAGTCAATGCATTGAAATCGCCAAAACGGTATGTTGGCATGGACACCACCCTTTCTGCATTCCTGGATAACACGTTAACTCCACCAAAGAGACAGCTGAAGTGTGTACTTGCCTGACAAGCAAGCCTTCTGACAGCCCACTCCAACCCAGACATCTTCGTTGGGCATTTCAGAAGGGCCCATACAAGGCTTGAATTTGGATGGCTGAGAACTTGTGAGAAGTGCTTTGAAAGCCTGATTGGCCTGGCTGATGTAGAGATCAATGGGGTGCAGGTGTTCAAGAATCTAAGGACAGACCTCATAAAAGATTTCAACAGGCATGGAACAAACCGGCACCACTAGATATCCAACAAGTGGCTGAAAAAAACCTTTCGGAATTGAACGTCTCCATTGACGCAGCACGTAGATAGCCAGATGGTTAGCTAGATGTATAGTCGTCAGCTAGCACGATCCAGATGAACAGTATGGTCAATGTACCTGTGTCATGTTGATCCACCATTCACACCACAGGCTCATAGACCAACACACTTGGCAGCTGAAGATCCTGTTGTGGGCACTACTTAACCCATCTATAGAAGTGCCATCGTCGGCCCTTCAATAGCCTGTTTGTCACAAGTTGCACTGAGTCTGCTGTGAGGATGAGAAGGGCGGAGAAAGACGGAGAAGAGAAGAACCAATGTTAGGAATTTCAAATCGTCACTTGATTGTCACATGTCATCGGACTTTGAATGGACTTGGGAATATTTTCTAATGTGTTTGAGCAATCCAATAATATGACTCTTGAGGCCTTGAGGCTTGAAGCTTGAGTGTTGACTTACTGACTTGAGTGACTTAAATCCCTCACTTGGAGTCACTTGGAGTTTGAACCAAAGTTATGGCTGTACCTTCAAGTGGCAAAGCTTTTCAAGTGAGATTTCAAGTGAATCCAAGCGACATAAGCTCAATAAGTGAAGTGTAGTTTTCCTGATTAGTACTCGAGTTGCAAATTATTTCGTCCTGGGTGATTGATATGGTGAGTACTCAATTTCAGCCCTGACTCTTGCTTCAAGACCCACAGTTTGTCATAGATGCAAGTGATGAGGGCTATTAAGAAATCTGGATCTGGCTTGCTAAGAAAGGCAGTATTGATGTCAGTGACCTGCAACAGTGTGCAGTCAGAAGCTGATGAGATGTCGAAAGCCACTACGTAACTCCGGTAGAGAAGAAATACATGTTAATGACTAGTTGCTGTGTTTTTCGATCAGTAGATGATCAGCCTCAAGCTAGGTGCTCGTGCGTTTGTGGGGGGACCTGATAGGGGAATGCTTTATGGGGATTTGGAAAATCGGTGAATGCTGTTGTGATATGATTTTCTGGGTACGACTCTGGATATGTCTTGTTCGAGAAAGGATTAAATTTTGAGCCCTTCAGAATTTCAATTTAATGGGCTAACATGCCATCTGCGTGCGAAGCACAGGCACTGCAAATGCCGAACACAGGAGAACGAGTCAAAGAGAAATGTTCTTGTTTTGAGGAAAATGATGGATGACTGTGCTTTTAAGCACCATATCACGCTGCAGATCATTCAAAGCAAATTCGAAGTATGAGTGCCCAATTTACAAAGGATGTAAGATGAGGTCCAAAAAAAAATTTCCACATAGTTGCCGAAGCAACATATCCGCATGTCCCTCTTGTGCGATTATACCTGCTTCTGCTGCCTTCTTGCGTATCCGCGGTTGCCATCCATAATGAATCGTTTAGCGGCGCAAGCGCCAGTCCCCGACTCTGTTTGAAATAATGTAATTTATACAACCCGCCTGAAAAATCTTCTAAGTATTACTATTAGTTGCCTGCTCGTCGCCGAACCGCTAGCGCGGTTCGCTCCTCGCAGAGATTTTAGGGACCCTTACCAAAAGGAACAAAGAACGGAACAAGCCGAAATTCGTGGGAAGCCATCACACAACTTTTACAAGGATGGAGCTTTATCGTTCTGACAGAACCCTCTCTGTTCCAGAGTCGGGGAAGCGGTTTTTGCTTGATTGCTTCCGCCCATCCTCGGCAAGGGCACCAGCAACCATGATCCGGAGTCCCGAAGTAGCATTTGCAGTAAGTTGCCGGAATGCTCTAAGATATTTTCTGGTCGACGTGTTTGAGCGCGCGTTGAAAAAGTTTGGCTTAAAGGGTTCGTCGTGACGTATGGAAATAACAAGAATCTAAAGGAAATTCAAAAAAGATGTGAGTCGTGAAAAATAAAATAAACAGGATGCCACGAATGGCACGATCTGCACTTCCACAACGTCTCTAAAATGCAACAAGAATAATGCTAAAGGTTGTGTGCTGTGTAGGTCTTATTGCAACTTCAAATGTGAATCTCTCTGACTACCTTTCACTCGTACTCAATAATATAGTATTGTTGCGTAACAATCCAACAGCTATTTAGCCGTGCGCCTCGTGACCCGAGCAACTCAAAACAATCGGAGTCCGAAGTGTCCAATGTCGTTCTGTCCTTGTTCTCAACCCCCATCAACATTCCTCCATCATGGCTCCCATCCCGGAAGAAATGATTATCACTGCAAGAGATTCAGTGTTGAAAATGGTGAATAACACGTATGTAGTCACTATTCTTTGTGGAAAGATATTCAGCTATCAACCCACATCCAGGCGGCATAAGACAGAGATCGAAATTGCCTGGAGACGACTCCACCCTATGCAGCAAGAAATCATGATGAAGAAGATCGTTAATAGGCTGACACCTGAACTATTCGATGTCCCCGTGGAAAGCGTAGTCAAGTCGCGAATTCTTGCGTCTTGGATCGCCGATATGGTGAGAAATTCATTCAATCTCAGCCCCTACTCTTGCTTCAAGTCCCACGATTTGTCATAGATGCAAGTGATGAGGGCCTTGAAGAAATCAGGATCTGGCTCGCTAAGAAAGGCGGTATTGACGTCAGCGACCTGCAACCGTGACAGTTTGCAGTCAGAAGCCGATGAGATGTCGAAAACCACTACGTGATTTTGATAGAATAGAAAGTCACGCCAATGTTGCCTCAATGACTAGTTGCTGTGTTTTTCGATCGATAGATGATTAGCCTCAAGCACTCTATATGGAAGAGGCTGTATGTGCCTGTGCATTTGTGGGGGGACCCGATAGGGGAATGCCTTGGCAATGGGGATTCGGCAAATCGGGGGATGCTGTTGTAATTTGATTTTCTGTGTATGACTCTGGATGCGTCTTGTTCAAGGGGAGATTGAATTCTGAAGTATTTAATGACGATGAATCTATGCGAAACAAATTAACTTCACGCTTTATCGATTATCCTCCATGCCTTCTTCAATGCCCATTTCTCAGGCCGACATTGACAGGGCCATGAATAATATTATCGAAGAATTAAGGTACGTTTCAATGGATGATAAACCCCACGTTGCCTACTCACCCATCACCCAAGCGGCCCAAGTCACACTCATCAAACACTCATGCATCTATGTGGAGTCGTTGCAACATCATCAAGCAAAGGATGCTTATAAGTAAGACCTCGGAATATTTGCTCGAGGAACATCAGGAAAATCCAATTGCTCCACACGACGTGTCATCACGATTGGAACTATATCTGATTTCTTCTCTGGTAGGTTATCAGGAGGATATACGTACGGCGTCACACTCCCCGAAAGGGGATAAGGCTCATCCTCGACACTGTGTCGAGGATCAGAGGACGACAAGAGGACGAGCAACACAGTTGGACACATCCCAATTGGGTGAGGTGACGAATGCGATGTCACACGTCACTACCCCTCTCTTCTCACAACCACCACGACCATCGACGACCGGCCACCAGGATCCACCACCACGATTGAGGAACGGCGACGACCACCAACGAACGTCCACGGGGCCCACCACCAGGATCGACAAACGGCCACGAGGGCCCGCCAGCACCACCATCGACGGACGGAGACGAGCGCCCACCAACATCCACGCGCGCCCAGCACCACCATCGAGGAACGCCGATGATGGCCCACCACGATCTCTGACGATTGGGTACCAGGACCCACCACCACAATTGACAAGCTTCTATGTACGGCCCACGCCCACGATCGACGGATGGCCACGAGGGCCCACGATCGACGGACGACGACGAGCGCCCACTAATGTCCACGGGGCCACGGGGGCTCATCACCACCCTCGACAAACGGACACGGGTGCCCACGACCACGATTGGCAAACCCAATCGCACCATCGACAATTCCCCAGCCTGCCCCCATCCTCCACCCCCACTCTCTTCCTCGCATACCCCATATCACCAGAAAAACCTCGTGATGCCGACATAACATGACCCAACGCCCCCCTCTACGAACCAACACCGACGTGTTGAGCTTAACGCCAGCGTGCACAACCAGCCCCGACGTACGAACACAACCCGAACACGAGCCCAAAACAATCGATTAGCAAGGGGTCGTTATTGAAGGGGAGACGTGGTGCTCCTACGTTGATACTTCCTACTTCTATATACTATTACCTTCCCATGTAAAGTGTTTCTCGTAGATAAGGAATACATATTATATTGCCATTTACCTGGGTACAGAAGGACTTGGACAGGGGGACTTGTAATAAAAAAAAAGAAACTGAAGTTGGCCAGATGAGCAGGCACACGATGACATAGATTCGACACATTCAGATGTGTCGAACACATGTAAAATCGACACATTAGAAAGGAGGAACACATCAATGTGTCGGCAATTTACCCTATGTGTCGCGTTATGACCCTATGTGTCGCTGTCCCGATTTGGGGAGTGTGTTACTTTTCGTATACACTGGGTTATCAGGATCGTTGATTTGCTAGTGCCCCCTCATGATGCTTTTTTCACGAACGGCACAGCAATCGGAAATAGCTAACAGAAGCCCTTCGCAATCGCCGCCTCGCCAATTTCCCAACCTTCCCGTTCCAAGAGGTCCGTACGAGTCTTATGAAGATATGCCCTCCCGGGGCAGTCCTGAGCGGGAGGGTATTACATTCACTCGACCTGCCGGTTCGCGGCCTTATCATCGAGTCCGTCCCCCTGCCTATGATGCTACGCTCCAAGTCGCAAGTCCGTCTCAGGCTTGGGCCTATGCTGGTCCTGTGGCGCCTAACTACTATGTTAACACACCATCAGGATTTAATAACGCTCCACCACAACCTGTTCAAGGATCGGCGTACAGCCATGCGCAAGGACCGGCGGGTTACGCTCAATCTCCGGCACAATTTGTCCAAGGATCAGGACACCCAGCACAATACTGTGGTCCACCTCTGCCAGAATACTTCAATGATCAAGGACTAACGCCACATTGGAATTACGGAGGCCAGTAATTCTGACGAGTTGAATAATACCTCGCTGTCATTGCTTCTGTCCTGTTGTCTCATGAGTCATGACCTGACCTCTCGTCTGCAACTACCCCGCCGGAATGATTTCAAAGTCTCTCGTCTTCTCTGTATCTTGAATTTCTTTTTGTAACTGCTCTTCCTGTCCTCGTCGTCTTGATTACGCCCCACTCACGTTTTTATCCGATTCGCCTCTGTTTTGTATCCCATCCGATTCCCGAATGTCCACAACATCCGTATTGCATTAGGTCTTTGTTTCTGTGTTACCCCAATGTTATCATTTACATGATATCTGTATCCTTGTCTATATTTTTGAGCGCAAAAGTCGTCTGTCATCAACGGAAGTTCTTGAGGTAAGTTATCAGCCGGCGCCGTTGAAGGTTGACCATGGTTAATGCAACTGACAATGCGTGCATGCAAAAGAGGCAAGCGAGACGATGATGCTCACCTTTTGCTAGATAACGCATGGCAAGAGGTATCCCTCGTTGAATTTTCAGAGCTATACATGAAGCGTTGGAGTACGCTGCAGCTCGGAAATGCGCCAACCACTAAAAGCTGTCCCAAGCGCCAGAGCACCCGACAAACTGTATATGCGCCCATTTGGCGCCCATACAGGTGATGGAAATAAATCATTGGCACCTGTAAAAATTAGCGCGCCATTGCGCAAGGATACAGCAACTAAATATTAAATGGGATGGGCAATAATGTCAGGGAGCGGCATTCAAGAGACAGGAAACATACTTCAAAGACCGGTGGTGTGAAGCGATAGCCCAGCCTGAGACCTTACTTCAAATCATCAAGAGTTTCGTGTGCCTGTCATACCTGCACCGTAGCGGCCGTAGAGCATTCCGATTAGGCCTGGGGAGGCGGACGAAAGAACGAAGGAAAAATAAGGAGCAGAAGATGGTG